GCTGAAGGGTATGATTATCTCTTGACACTGACAGTAAGGAGCAGAAAAGAACTGATGTTCTGATCTTCTGTCACTCCTCCCCATGATAGAAGAAAGATGTGAAAGGTCTAATTTATATATAAGTGGATGTGCCACCTCTGTTCACTGACCATGCAGTTTCTTCATTCCCAAGGCTTTGCTACAGCTGGTATTTTTAAACACTAATGAAAGAATAGACCTGCTGGCACAGTTCTTTTTTTTCTCCCAGAAGATACTCTGCAGCAGATTGATTAGCCCTTAGTCCACACTGTGACTGATTGCTGACTTAACTCTCATGCCTCACGTCCAGCTAGCACAGCATCAATTTCCAACTAAGTCTGTGTAGCACAGGCTTATAAAAGGGAGGTCAATTAAAATGTATTGCATGTGTCAATGTGGATTTATGGCTTCACGGAAAGGAGAGAGGAACTGTTCTCTGTATGAATAAGCAATGTTTGGTAATCACCACTTTACTTTGTCTTCTAGAGAGGAAAGCAGAAATCCGTTTTTCTGCTTTGAAGCAAGAGGGGAATGATTTTGTGAAGAAGGGCCAGTACCAGGACGCACTGGGAAAGTACACAGAATGCCTTAAGCTAAAGCCAGATGAGTGTGCTATTTACACCAACAGGTTAGAGGCTTCATTCTTATCTTATCAAACAAACACAGACACTCCTGTATTCTCTTTCATTTTCTGTTCTGTGCTACCGTTTGATATTTTGTAATCTGTCATATATTTTCTGCTACTTTTCATGTTCCTCACAAAGTAGGAATGTGAGAAAGCGTCGTTGCTTTGTATAAACTAAAACAGACTCATTAATTACCCGCAGCTGCTCTTTTGTCAGCCTTTTTTTTCAGCCCTGTAGCTTATCCCAACCAGTCATCGGCCCGTCACCAGCGTTAAATTTGTAATTGTAATTTGGTAAATTGGAACATAACAGCAAAGGTTCAGGGAAAAGCATCCTGATTCAGCTGTTTGTCACAACTCACATATAGGAACCATTATATTATCTTACATCTAAAGACAACTCCAGGGAAGACAGGTCTTTCTTCTTTCTGTGTCCAACACTGCTCTCTTCTCTTTCTTTTTCACAGTAGTAGGTAGATTGTTGATCATGGCACAGAGGAAACTGATGCTGACATTAAAGATTTTCTATTGTATGTTGGTGTTTGCGTGTGCATGTTGAGCTCTGCTGCGGAAACGGCTTGTATTTACAGCCACACCAGTGCAAACACCCAAATGCAACCTCCACACAGCTGCTGACATGTGTATTTACATGGAAAATACTGACAGCTATTCATTTAGAAAAGAGGCTGTAAGAGTGAATTTGTGAGTCCTAAGGTTTTATCTTGCCTGATTTGCTTCTGATTGAAAATTATTTTTCCATACATTTCAGCCTTTATTATCAAATCTGATTCACAGACGATGACTCATAAACTCATGATACCTTTAGTCATGCATCAAATAAGATTAGCTGCTGATGACAAAAATATAAATCAGTTGACGTGTGTGTTTGCAGAGCTCTGTGCTACTTGAAGCTGGAGAGGTTTACTGAGGCTAAGCAGGACTGTGATGCAGCACTGAAGCTGGAGCCAACCAATAAGAAGGCCTTCTATAGACGAGCCCTGGCCAATAAAGGCCTCAAGGTGAACAGAGCCGGATATTAATGACTAATGCCACTAGGGAGGTTGTTCATTTAATAGGAGGGCTGGAGGGAAGCATTTAAATTTAGCCAACAAGTGTATCTAAGGGGCATAAGATTATCTCAAGGTAAAGTGTGTTTTTCACATATTAGTTCCATACCTTAGACTGTATTTTTGTCTGTCACTCCACCAGGACTACCTAGCATGCAGCTCTGACCTACAGGAAGTGCTGCAGCAAGATCCCAACGTGCAGGAAGCTGAGAAGGAGTTGGAGGAGGTGACAGTGCTGCTCAGACAGAGTCTCGCCAATGCTTCACCAGCCAAACCCAGGAAGACTGTCCCCATCACAGAGGTGGAAACACATGTATTTTTTGATAACTATTTCAGCCAGGCTTCCTACGCAGTGCTCCTATTTAGAGTGGGATGCACCATGTGACTGTAACATCTCTGGTGTGATTGTTGTCGGGGACCTTTGTTGCATGTCATACCCCTCTTTCTGCACCCACAACTCAAGTGCCATACATATTTCAGAAATACTCTTTGAGTTACCAGTATTTAAACTTCAGAACTCCAACCTTCATAGATATATTAACACTGAGCTGGGGGAATCCTGATGGCCTTGGGGTGAATTCATCAGTCACAAAGCAAAATGCCCCTGGTTGACACTTGTTCTGGTTTTCCAACCACATAGATTATAGTTGCATCTCAAATGAAACTGTAGGCTGCTCAGACAGGACAGTTTGTAGTAAAGAAAAAAATAATCAAGTATTGAGCAAGCTAATTATATTCAGCTTGCTTACAGTCAGTGCTGGACTCTTAATATTGCAGCTTTGTGTCTGATGAATGTGTAATTTGAATCATAGTCAATTTTTAATGTGCACGCAGTCTTGTACCTTTTGATTTATTACAAAATATCTTGACTTGTTTCTATGAATCTTTTCTCATCTTTTGTTGTGAATAATCCGATGTTAGAGAAAATTTAATCACTCAATAGAGAAAGCTAAAGACTAGTTGATTTGGAAAAAAACAAAAATGAGGAACTGCCTCCCAGTGAAATTATTTCTCCAAAATGCGCTGAATTCTGTAGATTTCCCAAAGACTGTAAATAACTTTCCTACGTAAATTCACTTTCATCTCCCATATCGACCTCCCTCCTCAGGTTGAGGATGACGAGGCCACAACAGCTGTTCCCAACTGCAGAGGCGAGAACATCACCACCAATCTCCAGCCGACCACCGCCTATGACTTCGGCCAGTCATTGAACGCAGCTCGCTGCAGCAAAAACACAGTGGCCTGCGCTGAACTGTTGGCCTCCACAGCACCAGAGGTGCTTCCTCAGTACCTAAGCAGCCAGCTGGATGGACACACTATAAGCTTCATTATGCAGGCGCTGGACTCACACCTACTGGAGAAAGACCCCAACTTGGTCTACCAACATCTCAACCATCTGCACACTGCCGACAGGTTCTCGGTAAGATAGGATTTAGATTGAAATATGTTACTTTGGTAACTATTGTATTTAACAACTTCTTATCATTTTACAAGTAATGTGTCTACTGTCCCCAGCAGCTGTGACTTTGGTAATAAATGACTAAACACTTTTTGCAGGTTGTACTGATGCTGCTGGAGAAGGACGAGCGTCGCCACATGACTCAGCTGTTTGAACATCTCTCAGCTGTGGAGAGCACAGAGTTCACTAAAAACGATGTTCAGAATCTGGCCAACAAATACATCTGACGCTCCTGCCCCTGCTCCCTGCTGCATGAGCTGCTGCACCACTACTCTTGGATCTATGCAAAACACTGCACAAGAACTGAGTACACAAAGACAGGAAGCTGCAGAATTTGCCCCAGAGCAATACAATGGAACCGAGTCAGATTCACTCTTCTGATCTGTGCTGTAAATGATCTGATCCCTGTATGTTTGTGTGACAGTATAAGAAATCTATTTTTCTCTCCAGATCATTTTGCTATGCAGATTTAATTTTGTACAACCACTAACCATTTGCTTTGTATACCAGACAGTGGGGCACAGTGGACCTTTCACTTTAGTGTATTGATAAATAGGGTCTAATGTGCAATGTTATATAAGACTACAGGAAAGTTTCCCCCTACAGGCAGGTGCATTTTGTCACTACAGGCCTGTGTTCTCGCAACTGAGCTCAGTTGAGCTTGTCCTTGAACCCAGTCAGTTTTTGAACTCATTCATTTGATAAAAGAGCAGCAGTCACATACCAGCTAAGATCAGAAACGCTACTCAGTGCATGCTAAATAACAGGTAGCAAACGAGCAAATTAGCCTATTTGCTCCTGAGTTAATTAAGATGTTCCTTGCTGCAGGACACACCCATAAGATAAAGTAACAGTTTTATTATGGCCACATGTACTGTATTATCTTTGTCTAAGAAATAAGCCTGCATGATGTCTTATTGCTGTTCTGTGCAGTATGATAACAGTGTCTGCTGAACTGGTATCTACTGACAATACTATAGGAAAAAAATACAAGACCTTATGTGCTCTCTGTTGATTATTCATCTATGCAATTAGCAGATTTGTGTTTTAAGATAAATTCACTGATAAAGGCAGGAGCTTGTGTCCTTTCTATCTGGAATGGCATACGGTCATTCACTTTATCCTTTACCACACTAACCTGCCAGCCAACACTCTTCTGCACCGTCATCTTCACAACAGTTTAGGACATGCAGATGTGAACTCACTGGAGAGAAGCAGCATCTTTACGAGATGTGTGCCTTGGATTTCAGTCTAGGTATTGACTTGCGTTTTTGTGAGTGTACACATACTCCAAAAGAGAAAGTGCACTGATGTCATTCTGTAGCTTCAGTCAAATTGTTTCATGGCTTGGATTTATGAATTGTAAATCATCCATATATTCACTTAGCTTCATGCACATATTTGTTTGGAATGTGTCATTTATTTGCTAATTTAACGTCATTCTTTCCATGTTAAGTAATTAGATGTTGAATACTCCAGTAATCCACCATTGAGGACTGCCTGAATTCAAACCATTCTTTGTTTTTAAATGTTTTATCACTTCTACATGAATGTACCCAGTCAGGGACACAAACTAGGGGACAAGAGGCAATAATTCTATATAATCCACAGTTCCTCTTCACTGTGGTTTAAACTGTATGTTTCAGTAGAGTTGTAAAAAAAAATGTGCACCATATTCTCAGAGGGCTATTCAATAAACTGGAAAACTATGGGGGGTTTCTTCTGTGTGCTATAATGATTGTAAATAATTGTTGAAGTTATAGAAATACACTATTAAAGATGTAATACTGTAAATACTTAAAGTATTTGTATTAACTTTCAAGAAACTGGAAACAGTTCATATTTTTTTTATTTTTTGATATGCATTTACACGCATATAGTAAAGCAAATTACCAAACAATATACAAATACCTTATGCTGTTCTGCACAAATTACAAATTATATCTGGCACTAGTGTTCAAATTAGGATCAAGAAACTGGAGTTTTGGTTAAGAATGAGAAACAGAACCGAGGAAGAAGAACAAAACGATGTTTTGCTTTAATGCAGGGAGGACTGCAGCATGAAGCCTAATCCATAGAACCTAATTAAGTGTTCATTCAGTAACAGACCTGGGTCAAAATACCATTCCTGGTAGAGGTTCACCTGAGCCAACTCAGTGGTCTCATTAAAGCGGACCACAGAGCAGTAAACACAGGCTTAAGCAAACACTCTAAATAAAAGAAGAATTTGACTTCAAGTCTGCTCAGCAGCACCGATTGGCAACACAAACGGGAATCACAGGACGAATCAATAGGGAAGGTAACCCCTATTATATGTATCCCTATTAACCTTGCATTGCAGAACATCAATGTAATAAGAAATACAGGTAACAGTGCAGGTGCCTTGGGCTGTTGTGCAGCCTCAGTTATTTGCGTAGCATTTGTGAAGCATGTAGGAAACAGCAGTCTGTACGTCTGTATAATCCTGGGTCTAGTTTTCATTTATACCCATGGTGTAAAAAGGATGCACAATACTGTGTCTACAGCTGACTAGTCAAAGGTATAAGATTTAACAAGAGCCTGAGTGCTGTCTTTGGTAGGCAATTGAAAAGTCTTCATTTACCATGTCTACCACAGTATGTTCTGCATGTGAATGAGCACCCCTCCAACACAGACAGACATTCTGCAATCTATAATGAGTCGTTGTTTGGAATCTAGAAGACACATTGGAGAGAGACAAACTGAACACAAACAGCTTCTTGAAGGCACCATGAGTTAACAACAAAAGATATCAAAGCTCTCTCTTACTCAGTGAGACGAAACCATCAGACTGAATAAATCACCTTTGAACAGGACAAAAACATTTTCTTTGTACAATTTCACAGAATTGACCAACCCATTGGTTAATGTATTATACTGACTTTCAGCATTATCTCGACAACCATGGCCTTCCAGAGACCTTTTCTCAAATCAAAGCAACCCTCACCCACCCTTTCCCCACCAAATGTATCATCCCAAGCTTTCCACAGAGCTAAATAAGGTCCGGACCCGGTTGAGTCATCTTAGCACTATAAACCAACCTTCAAGAGTTTTAGGCCACAGGTCTAACTCAGTGGTTACCGAGCTGCTAAAGAGCTGTCAAGCAGCATCTTCCACAATGGGACTACAGCTATGTTTGGATCCCTCTAAAGAGAATCTCAGTTGTGTTACAAGTCCATTTTAGTGCTAAAATGATTCAGGATATTGAGCCCAGGCCTCAAAATTATACATTTAGAGAGTTCATTTCAAACAAACATCCAGGGGGGGAATAAAACAAAACATCTAATAATAAATACAGACAAGAACGCAAAGGTTCCTCTGTTACTAATACACTTTGGGAAAAATAAAACAAGGAAATAGTGAATCATATTGCCTGGTCCCTGTTTGAGTTCACCTCTGGAAAGCTGAAACATTTAAGATTCCTGCATGAAGTTGCATCCACATTGTAGAGCCAAAATCATATACGAGCAAAACTGGCACAGTGGTTTAATTTTAACCAACACAGATCAAAATGACAGCAACCAAATCAGTGGGCTGTTTTCTGTTACAAGTGGCAAGAAAGTGAGTGTCAAAAATGTGTCAGCAGTCTATGGGTCGCACCGGGAGAAACCCCAGCATTCACAATCTTAGTGTTTCTCGCACGGCTGCACTTTAGAAGCCTTTTAATACTTCCACCAGCCTTTTGACTGTCTGTGGACACACATAAATCCAAAAATAACACATCTCCCCTTTACCCCTTTACAAGGGAATAACAGAAAATGCAGGATAAACTGTAAGCTATGATTGTTAGTTTAGTAGAGGAAAGGATGTTAAATAAAACAGTGCAGCACTTAAGGTATTGAGATTTTATATATCGGTCTGTATACAGGAGTTCTTGGGCTGCTGCTGGGTTTGAGCTTGTTGTTGTGGTTGGGGGTGGTTGTTATTGGTTTCTTTTAGCAGCTCTCCAGTGTTGCTGTGAGAGTCCAATTCAGCGGGGCACACTAGGTTGACATTCTCCTCTGTGATGAAGCAGAGAGGGGAGAGCTCTGCGCCATGACCCAGGGATGAGGTGGTAGAGGTGGGAGAGTGGGGAGTGATGACAGCTCCTTGTCCCTGGGAGGAGGATGAAGTAGCGGGGCAGGTCTCCAGGCGGTCGTTCTCCACCTCAGGTAAAGGGCTGACGGTGGCAAAGCGTGTGTGGTAGTCGCCTCCACCTGAGCCGTGGCTACAGGACGTCTTCATGCTTTCCAGATCAGAGCAGCTGAACTCGGAGAAGTGACTGGAGTGGGAGTCGGCCACAGATGGCAGGCTGCCACTCAGTGAAGGAGAGTCGAACTCTGAGGAGTTGGTGCTGCGCTGCTCCAGCAGCTGAGCATCCATGTCCTCACGCGTTTCATTGATCTTGGTGCCTCCACCGCCTTTCTTGCGCAGCTTGCCTTTGCTCTTTTTGCCCCCCGAGCTGTTTGAGGAGGAACAGGATGCCTCTTTGGCCCACTTAGTTGAGGCACCTTTGCCCTCTGAGGAGGTGTAGCCATTGGAGGGACAAGTCCAGCCACAGCGGCCAACATGGCTGCCGTCATCTACGCTGCTGCTGCCACTGTGGTGACGTAGTTTGCCAGGTTTGGACTCAATGTCAACTTGGACCTCCATACTGTTCCCATCTCTGAAACAAGGGAGGAGGACAGAAACAGGACAGGAAGTTGTAAGACTTCAAGAAATATACTGCATATGTGTGTGCAGGTGCAAGGTGCATGCTTAAACCTTAGAGTTTAAAATGAGCCTGCAAAGTCTTGTCATCCGTAGTCTTGTTTTTAAAAAAAAAGATAACTGATGTGCTTGATAAATATTTTTCTTTGAATATCAATTAAAGGTCCACATTATTTCACACATAACCATGTTGTTGTACAGAGTAATATTCAGTGTCTACATTTTGTTATGCCACAGGTGCACATTTACTCAGCATTTCACAGCATCTGTTACATACTACGGACTTTTAGAGGTATACCAGCTGCACAAAACCACATTAACGCTGAAATGTGCAATGAACACACTATTACCTGGTTTATTCAGATGAAAATGATGCTCACCTGTCAAGAGGCATGTAGGCATTAAGAATGGATCCAGCCATTGCTTTGGTGCTAGCGTTGTCGCTGATTGTACCCAGGCTGACAGTGCCAGACTCACCACTCAGACTGCAGCGCTCCTTCTGTACATCAGCCTGCACCTCCAGCCTGACAACATGTGAAGGGGAAGATTTAGGCAAGGCAGGAAAGCACCATGAAGTCGAAAGTTGCATTAATTTTTAAATCCCATGGCATGTCTTTGTTTTTTGGTACCTGTTTAGATAATTGACCATGGCACTGCCAGAGAGACTTCCGGTGATACTGGCTCCAGCCAGGGCCATGGTTGATGCTGTCTCACTCAGGTTGTCTCTGATAGCCCCCAGACGGTCCATGTGGCTGCCACTGGCACTCAGGCTGCCTGTAAGACCCCCAACACTGCCTTCACCTATACTGGGATTGTTCCTGGTGTCTGCCACTGACGTAGTGTCTATACAGGAAAAAAACCCAAAACATACGATTGCTATTAAAATTTGGAACTGGTAAGGGTATTTTTTCCAAGCAACTGTAGGCCTTTTGTCTCACAGAAGAAATATAAAAGCATCTGTGAAAATGAACTTGAGAGCAACAGCAAATGAATTGGGCAGGGACACGGTAGGTCTACCAGACAGCGAAAGGCAAATTGTGTTGTTTGCCATAAAACACAAGGCTGCTTTTAGGTGTCAGCAGAGGTAGTGGGATGAGGCACTGAAACTTACCAGTGGCAGCTGCCCCGCTGCCAACATTCATGTCATTTTCGTCGTCAAATTCTATGCGAACTCCTTTTCCATTCCCAGCTGAAACACCACAACCTCCACTACGGCACAAAGAGATGGGCACCACGCCATAGACATATGCAAGCATGATAGGAACTCCAATGCCTGAGGGGTTAAAGCGAGAGACACAGATAGACCACAGACAAGTTAGGCCAAGACACTAAACAAACAACAGTGGAGGCCACTGCTGCTGACGCAAGCAAGTCAAATTAGTCTAAATATCCCTAAACTTTCCCATTTCGTATAACATCTCATGAGAAACAAGACTTTTGCATAATATGAACTTGACACTCCCAAAGCCAGCAAAGTCTAACAAAGATACTGTATGTCAATAAAGATGTCCAGTCATCCAGAGAGCTAGATCTGAGAGAAAGCCAGAGAGAGAGGAAGGACAGGTTGCAGAACAGACTGACCGACAGTGACTGCAGCCACCACTGGGGACACGATAACAGAGAGAGTCACTCCACCAGCAATCACCAGGTTTCTCTTGTGGTTGGAAATATCTTTGCCTTCATAGCGGTTATGGATCTGACAGAGAAAGGGGAACACATATGAGCCACACAGTCAGAGAGAAGAACCTAAGTTAAACTTTAGTTCCCTGATATTCAGACAAATAAAAAAAACAACTGAGGCATGGCCTTAAAAGACACCACAGAAAAAGAATGTGAGACGAGAAGAGTGTTACTATCAAACAGGTTCAATGTATTAGGACAAAGTTATTGATTTCCTCTCATCTTTTAAATAAATAGTAGAGTCTGGGGCTCATAAGTGAATTCATAGGCGGTGACGTTTGATCTCATCATCCATAGCAGCATTGTGCGTGAACTTTTCTTAGAGAGAGCCCACATTTGTTTGCCTACTTGTCTTTAGTTCACAGTTGAGACTACTTCCAGTTTCCTTTCTAGTCAACCACAAATAGAAGAAGTCTTTGATGAATGCTGTCTGGGCTAGCTGTTTATGTGGTCAATGCTCAAGCAGGTTGCAATTAAACCTCAAAAAGCCCCAAAGAACCTGCCACCTACAAACCTACAGTTTCCTTACCATTTTCTTCACACCTCTGCATATACTTTATGTTAGAGAATGATTATAGCTTTGAAACAAAGAGCCAAGTGCAAGTTATTGTTAAAACAACATAAATACATTTTGAGCTTGTGAGAAGGCCACGTGGTGCCAGTAGCAACTGTTTGCTATATGACAGCTGAGTACACTGTGAGAAGAGATTAAAGAATGTACAGGATTGGTTGCTGAAGTAATGAGCAAAAGTAAAACATTTCACCATAAGTTAAATGACTATCAATTAATGAAAATAAACTAAAGCTACTATGAGGAACTTGGTAAAATGACAACCCTGACACGATCCATTGTTAAGGAAGTCTTCCAAATGAAATAAACAAATAAATAAGTCTTGGAAGTACATGAACATTATATAATACTCAAAACGGCAACACTGGAACAGAAGAAAGGGAATAACCCATCAACAGCACCATATGAGCAATGGAAATATATGACTGTATCTCCCACCGGCTTTTTTTCTTACTTTCAAAAAACTCTTGCCAGTAAAGATGATGGTGAGAAAAAAAAAACCCTGGTGGAGAGAAGTCTTTGCTGTTTCCAACCCAAAAGATGACACATATGTAACAAAAACCATAAATACACATTCCCTCCAGGACTGCTTGCTTACTTTTTCAGTCAGTTAACGGTGACAAAGCAAAGCTTTGGCCTACCAAATGGCCATCCTGTACAAAAATGGCCATGGCATGGGTTTAGTCACCAGGATGCAGATTCAACATTAAGACTGAACAGCAGCATTCATTGACTGCATGTGGAATGCAGGTGATTCATGCTCAGATGTTTCACGTCTTTCATGTGATCACTACTGAATGTGGTCTGTTTTTTGTTTTTTTTAGGGGGAAGAAAAGTTCGTTGGCTCTGGCAGCGTCTTAGCAGGCTTAAAATGGGGGAATTCCAGAGAGTCAAAATACTTTCATTTTTATTGTAGTGTGAAATTCTGATTCCAAACAGACCTAGACAATACAAGTGTATGCACACAGATACATGGGTGACTGGTCTTAGCTAGCTTAAGGTAAATCCACAGCATGGCAAAAACAGATGACTATATAATGTTGTTTTTCCAATACGACTAGTTAGCTATCAATTGATGCAGTGCTTGTTTCTGGCCATGCAGCATGTTTACTTTGATATGTGTAAAGTTATGTGACAAGTATGTGGACAACTGAAAAGAGAATGCTTTAAAGGAGTGTTGTGTGAGAAAGCAGAGCAACAGAATCATTCAACCTATTATATACAACACTAAGGATGACATGTCTTTACAAGACGTGATACAGCTCAATACAGACAAGTGTTTCCACTGTAAATCTAAACAGCAACAGATCAAAATTTGCTTTTCGTGTAGTGAAAACAATAAGCAGGAAAAATGAATATGTTACAAACTATTGTACATCAATGTGTCTTCTCAACTCACCTTCCTTCCTACATACACAGGAATGCCAATAATCATGGCAGGGATAGCTATTCCAGCAATCAGTGCGATGCCGACAGGAGCACCCACGAGTGTTCCCAGTTGCCAAAGAATCTTCTTTTTCCTGCTCCAGGGCTTCTTCCCCCAGAATGTACAGCCTGACGGGCTAAGACAGAGGTAAAGGGGGAAACATGAGGAGACGGTCGAAAATGTTCACAGGTATAACTACCAAACTTCCAGAAAAGATTATTAATCTCTACCACTGCTCTGGAAATAAAAAATATTTCAACAAACATGAAATACTTTTATCTAACACATTGTTAATTTATGCATTCCAAAATACTCATGTCTAAATGTAATACTGAAAATACTACACTGTGTCAGTATATATGTGTGGATGTGCTTTGAGATACTTCCTACCTCAGGTAGTGCAAGTCTGAGATCTCTTTCATGCACAGCCAGCAGAACTCACAACCGCAGACGGCACAGGTCATGTGGTTACAGCTACCATCATTCATCTTGATGATGTAAGCAGCACAGCGTGGACATGGCTTGATGTCATCAGCTAAGAGAAATAGAAATCAGAGAATGGAATACTCAAACAGTTTTACTGGAGGTGGTTCTTAATGAGTAGAGTGCTGCCAACTTTTAAAAAAAATAATTGCTACAAACTCCTCTTCTCATTTAAAACAAAAATATACAACTTAATTACACCAGCAGCAATATAATGGTATACTTGAATAATTTTTCCTCATGATTAAGGATGTATGAGTGATCTAGTTGACATGCTATGAGAATGGCATAGAATGAATCCAAAGACGACACAAGAGCAGAGATAAAAAGGAAATGGGTGGTTATGTAGCTATGTGAGCTTTGTCTGTGTTTGTGAGGTTAGTCAACCTGCAGCTCCACTCTCTTGGCTGTAGCTGAGGGAGGACGAGCGCACAGTTCTCAGGCGGAGGCTCTGGGCTCTCTGCTGCCGTGCTGCATCACAGGTCTGGTTGGGATGCCACAGCTGTTTACAGTGGTAACAGAACTCTGTACTGCAACCCTCCCTTCCGCACGTGATCTTTGGACAGCTGGCACACCCAAAGGCTATCACTGCATACCTGGCAGAGGACAAACAAAACACTTATCAGGTAAAATATTGTAACATGGTGCCATCACAGAAGTACTGATAGTAGTACAAACGTCAGCTACAAGCAATTGATGGGTGTATAAACAGATGTGATGCATATAAAACAACGGTGCAGGCAACAAAGTAGGACATAACATTCGAGAAAAGGTAATGCAGAAGTGTTTTTTTTTTTTTTAACATTATTGAAGGATGGCCTACACTAGTATTTAAAAACATTGGCTTAATCCATCCTCTCACAATTACAGCCAGTGAGCTTATAAAACAGCAAACTAGACAGCTACTTTGTCTCCTCCTGTTCACTGATATTATGATCCATCTATGGGCTGCAGAGTATGCCTGATATGAGTAATTGTACTTTGGCCATCCTTAATCACTATTTTGACTGTAGCGCGTCTGTGTGTGTATGTGTTATCAGGAAACAGCCCAAGAAATACGTATCTGAAGCTCTCTTTTCTTGTGAAAACATACCAATACAGACTTTGGGTTGTCAATCCACTCGTGCAGTAGACAAGAACACCTTGTTCCTTATTGATAATAATTTGTTGACAGGAAAGAATGTTATAAAAAAAATGAACTTTTCCCTTTCTTTTGCCATTTATTATCGAGAATGCTTGCCCTTGCTGCTCTTGCTTCCATTCTATCTACAGTCACAAGAAACAAAACATCAGAAACAACAAATGAAAAAAGGGGGATCAGTGCTCTTTTGCACATGCCATATGTTAAATTTGTCTAGTAAATTTGTCACAAAAGTGAAGCTTCTGAATGCAGACTAGAGGCTTTACAATTTACTACTTTTATAATTGGCTTTAGAAAAAAATACATAAAATGGTAAAAACTGACTTGGCATTTTTGTGTAATTTAGGCAGGGTTATTCTATAAAGTCTGGGGCAGACTCTACAGCTGTTGTCAGTCTGTCTGACTCATCCAGTAGCTGTGTCTCCTACAACTGCACATGTATTCAGAAGACACAGCACAGAGCAGCACATCAGAATACCTCTGAAAGAGTAACAGCAGAAATGATGCAAGACATGATGCTTTCAACTGACAGGTTTGATGAAAAACACTGAGTGCTGACAAAGAGACAACATTCAACAATAAGAAAAGTAAATCTGTTTAAAGATGACAGCTGCAAAATGCTGGTTAGCCAGTCTCATGGGGGAAACCCTGGAGTGCGTGACGTTGTTCTATCCATGTGTAGCAGAAGCCTCCCAGCACTTCTGTGACTGACCCAAGGATTAAGTTTCAATCACTGAGCCGTGGAGAGCCTGGGAGACTTCCTCTGCTGTGTATCAATTTACTCTACTGAGGACCGTGTCTACAATGAAGACAGGCAGTAAGGAACAGCAGAGACCACCAGCATTCAACACGATCAGGGCTCCAGACTGCGACCATTTTGGTCGCATTTGTGATCTTTTTTTTGGAGAGTGAGCAAGCTGAAATTTCAAGGAGTTGCATTCATGCGAGTGCCTGGTGATTTTTAAGCTATACTGGTGTTGCTCTAATCGGTGCAGATAGCTACTGTGTTAACCACACTGGTGGAAAGCAGTACTTTTACTACTTCGGTGGACTGCGGTATTTACACTTAAAAATGCAGTCTGCATTCGCTGTTTTCTATGTGCGGAACAGCGCATGTAGCTGTGCTCCACATTGTAGAAAAAAAAATCACTCCATTTCATCTTGGACAATCTGACATTGGAACTCCCTAGTTTAACTTGTTTCAAAGTATTTTTTGGTCGCACACCTGTCTGAGCACACCGCCAACCACCAAGCAGTAGCTAGTGCAGCCTGCAATGTGGGGCGTTTACTGTAGAACATCGGTAAACTGTAGCGTCTATCGATAAGAAGATGTTCAGCAAGTGATGTGTTTTGCCTATGATCAAATAAGAAAGTTGGTTGCACCAGGGCCACCAGTGGAAAAAGTTAGTCTGAAGTCCTGACTATACGAGCTAAATAGATAGACTGTAACAATAGGAAAGAAAATGGCTATGGTGTAGACTTGATTATTAAGTGGACCACAACTACTGTAGTACATTCCCTCACATGTACACAAACACATTAATTCACACAAAATACCTTGAATGGACAACATCATTGGATATAGTCACTTAAGTATCACCAAAAACAACATATGAGTATAGTTTTTGTGTAACCACTTCCTTTGAAAAACTATTAAACACGTTAAAATCCCTAAATCGATCTTTTGGTTGCAAATGTCCCTTCTTTGAATTTAAAAACATTCTCTGAAACAATTCACTGATGATAAAGTTGGTGATGTTGGCTGAATCCTCTGAGCTGCAATAAAAAAGGAATATGCAAGAGTGAATGACAGAGCAGAGCAATGCTGCAGAGAAATGGGAAAAAAAGAAATTGAGGGACGGTGTAGTTTGCTCTAACCCATTCATGGGTGAAAAAAAATGTCTTTGAGCACAAGAGGTGCAAACACTAGAGCTATCTACAAATATGGACACAAGAGGGGAAGGAAGGACTCAAAAGGAGGAAAAAGAAAATAGGGATCAACCGATATGTTTTGGGTCTTTTTCTAGGTTTTTTTTCTCTCTCACTGACTGCCGTCACCGTCTCTTCAAGACACTATGTGCCAGGTGGTGTCAGGCTCCTACAGACTGAAGAGACTGAGGACAATGACACACTGTGGCAAGACTAAATGATTCATACATTAATGCATTAGCAATATCTACATGTGAATACTACACTGTATACGGTATACGTCTCTAAATTCCAGTACTGTCTTGTGCAGCAGACATATCTGCTGCTTTCTAGCTTCAAGCCCTTGTTTTATGCTGCAGCTACTTCAGCTTTCTGAAAGCACAATAAAACATGTCATGCCTCCTACAATTCATACCCTCAAAATACATTTGCTACTATTCTGGCCAAGTTTACAAAACAGGACATCCCACAAAAGAAAACAAAACATCCAACTGCAAAATAAAATACAACAGCACTTCACGAACTCTGAAGGGATGGATTTTTTTTTTTTATAGCTACCTGACCTCAAACAATTCCTGGAAGAAAAGGAAATGGCTGAGAACAAGAGCAAGACACAGTGTTTTCAAACATGATATAAACTGGCTCATTGGGAAACGCCAAGGATTTTTCCAAATAAGTAAGCATTTTCACTCAACAATGTGTGCTACAGGTTAGTAAGGCTGTTGTTAGATGTCCAAAATGTCAATTAAAATATGCAAAATGCATCAAAACTACATAACAAAAATTCCATACCACATTGCCAAGAAAGCATTGGCTAGACCATTCTCCATAAATGTGAAATCTAGACTCCACATTATACTGGGCCCAGGAGTTTTGGGCTGATTTACTCCCATTTTACCCCGTTTGGACTTTGGTCTGACCTGATGTTTGGCGGAGATTACTTGGCAATGTGAGGGGTGTACAGATCGAGTCTTAAACCTCATGAATGGCTCAAACTCGTCAGGGCTGCTCCAATGCTATCATGCTTGTTTGATAACTACAGGCAAAGATCTTGGTGATTTCAATTATTAGGCTAGCGCCCAGAGCAGCAAACATTCTTGCCCAACAACGCTAAGCATTCTAATCCTTGAGGCTAATGTTAGCTACAGATATTAAAACTTAGAGTTAAAATCTCACCTCCAGCTCTCACTGAAGAGCAGACAAACCATGTTAACCCAACCATTTTCTCATCAAACTTGTGTAGTCTCCTGCTTTTGTTTTTGTTTTTTTTTTCTTACTGCCAAGTCTTACAGCGTCTTGTTGCACCACAAACTCCACTTCATTTGCATTTGTTTCCCCATTAGATAACATGAGGTGGTGCACTGCTACTTCATTGGTCCCTTTGGTACGATAATCTTAATAAGCTGTCATGTATGATTCACAACTATATTAAAATCTTGTAGTATGTGTGTACCTGAGACTCCTTATGTGCGTAACGCAACCCAATTTCAAAATATTTTAGGATTTTAAAACTCCTGATGTCTGAGCCCGGCATTACTTTTGTGAGTTAAGAATAGCCTGCAGTTAAGAAACTTCAGACAGATGTCCTGTCAGCTCCATATAAATGAGCTGCTGATTTGATTTGTCAGTGAGTTGGAGTCACCATTTGACCCTACAGGGCCTCTACAAAGACACACTGCAGTGACAGTGTGGGGGGCTGAGTGGAAGCAGGACAAGAAGCCATCAATCAGGAATGGGATTAGACAGCAGAACAGCCCAGCACAACTGGATGATTATTAGAAGGGTAAGCAGCAATTAAGAGAGATAAAGCAGAAATAAATGTATGTTGTTGCTGTGCCGATCCTTGATGTCATTCAGCTGCCTCTCCAGTGAGACTCCCACATTGTGGACGAACTCCAACCTCACCAGCCTGCACTGGGGTTGATGATGGCTATTTTATCATATGGTGCCCTTGTTTTGCTCTACAGCCTGAGTGAGCTTGGTCTAGCAGCACAAAAATCATCTCTCCACCTGCTGTAGATTCTGGTTGGAGTTGCCCTCCAGCTTGCAGCAGGTCTTCAAGAGAACAAGGACTTTTTTTTTTTTTTTTTTTTTAAGTTATTTTTCTGGCCTTTTTGCCTTTATTTGATAGAACAGTGAAGCGAGAGACAGGAAAGTGGGGGAGAAGAATGGCGGAAGGACTTGCAGCAAAGGGTCATGAGCGGGACCCGAACTCATGACCGCTGCGTTGGGGACTTCAGCCCCTGTACATGGGACGCCAGCTCAACCAGGTGAGCTATCGCAGCGCCCGAGAACAAGGACTTTTATCCCAAGCTGCAATGTAGGAAGTTGGAATGACAGACTCAATAGAGAGGCAGCTGAATTGAGGACCACCACAACAGCTACTTGGCCAGCCTGAGGGTAGGGAAACACAAGATGGGACAGGTCTGGGCTAGCCGAATTTTCAAAACAGGACTTTTACATATAGTCCCTCAAATACTTAAATTAATAAATAAATAGGATCACTGTCTTAATTTTCCTACTCCACATGATCTAAGCAAAAGTGTGATTAGTTGTAACACAGGAACACACTCACTGCGCGAACTAAACAAGCTGTAAGTTATTTTGTAAACAGAACATAGCACGGTGGATGAAGAAAAGTCGTAAGTACACCAATATGGAAAAAAGCAACCAATGCAGCAGACATAAAAATCACCACTTCCAATAAGAACTTTCAGAATAAAATCAGAAAGGAAACAGCACGGAGATTTGTGAGTTGGGATTTCAGCTGTAAATTGACAGGTTGACAGGTTTTGTATCCAGTTCAACCAACTCTGTGGAAAAATTGCGATTCAGATTGTTGACTGCGATTCTGTCCCAAAAGGGCATCACTAATGATCTTCTGGCCAGATCACCTGCCCCTAGCCTGTAAGTGTTTTCCTACTTGGAGATGACTCTACTAGACTAGTTATTACAGACTAAGTCATTTACTTTTTGTATTCAACACCTTCTTTTTCTCTTCCAGTAGAACAAGTTTGACCTTATCCAAACCATGAAACAGCTAACCACACGCAATTTCCTTAAAAACACCATTCTGATGGTGGAAAAACATTCTGGAGAAAGTACTACATGTAATTTTCAGGTATGACAAGATCGGTGTGAGCTGCATCGTAAGGTATGTCATTGCAATGGTCATCATGCACTATGTAAATTCACTGCTTACCCACAGTCTGGTGCAGGGCACCAGCGGCAGTCTGGGTCAGCCACCAGCCACCTCCTCAGCATGAACTCCTCATATTTCTCCATGAGAACCCGATCCCCCAAGATCATGCGGATGTCGTGTGGGTTGAAGCGTTCTGAGCACTCAGGGCAGCTGATGTTGACACGTGACTCTGAGATCTCAATGCGCAGGTACTGGCGTAGGCAATCAATGCAGGAGCGGTGATGACAAGTCATGATGTCAGGGAAGCTCTCCCTGGAGTGGCGCAGAAGGCACAGCGGGCACTCCAGTAGCTCTGACCCTACCACACCCCCCACCTTGGAGGAGGAGGTAGAGGAAGAAGGCCCTGAGGCAGATGAGGTGGAAGCGGAAGCGGAAGCAGCAGCAGCAGCAGCAGTAGCAGCAGAGGCAGCTCCGGTCCCAGCCACAGAGAAGAAGGCAGAGTTCTTGTCATTACACATCTCAGAGTGGATGCTTTCAATGCTGGCAATGCCATCAATTCCTCCTAGCCCTCCAGGTCCAGGATGCTGAAGCTCTCGGGACCTTTGGCGCCCTGATTTGGACTCCCGTCCTCGCCGTCTGAAAAGAGAGGCCAGGGAGAGGCGCCTCTTCTTCGGGGCCTTCTTTACAGAGGGCAGAGAGATGGAGGAAGCTGTGGACTGTAGGTCTCGGTCAGAACCCATGACCCCACCACTTCCAGGACCCAGCTGCTGGTGCTTCTGCAAGCTCATCTCTCCGGAGGGAGGGGAGGGGTGTGCCAGTGGGGATCCAGGGCTGGGCAGCCTCTCTCTTGCATGTGCAGAGAGGTCTGGCAGTTGGATAGGGCTGGGAGAAGGAGTAAGGTGATGGATGGGGGAGGGGGAGGGTGGGCCAGGGTGGGGGGACAGGGCTCCAGAGGGCCCGTCTGTGTTTAAGACATGGTGGCTTCTCCTAATCAACCTCGTGGTCACATCTAATAGCCGGATTTTGGCGAAAGGGTGGGGGTCACCTGCTGTGAAACTGATGCAACAGAACCTGGAAAGAGAAAAAGAGAAAAAGTCAACAAAGCTAAAAGGGAACACGGGTAAAGGGTTGAAGAAGAAAGGAAACAGATTTAAATATGACATGCTCATAATCAACTTTAATACTCATTTAGCCACACAGAAACTGCTATAAAGCAGACATGTAAAATCAATTCGTCAGTCATACACTTTTATTCAGTCAGCAAATGCATTTCCTTCACATAACATTTGTAAAAGTGATGTTTTTATTCAACCACCTTTGACATTAGTGTTGGCTAGTTTGTAGTTGTAAACTGGACCACTGCTTCCTTTCTTGAGAAGTGGCCACATTGCACAACTAGTTGTGTCTCTTTAATATATAATTACTATGCTGAAAGACACTGCAATTCACGAATATAGCATCAAAGTGCTTTTGTATTTGCTTAATGTTTTTGCACATCACTATTCTGGTCTCAACACCAATTACAGTAATTAACAGCAAGCTTTGCATGACCAACCTTCCATACGTTGGTCACATGAAACAACTGAGTTATCTTCATGATAACAGCACAAACTGTCAACACACTGACACCTCAAGAGGCGACTGAAAGCACAATTATCCATTATCTATACACCGCTTAATCCTCACTGGGGTCGCAGCTGACTTAGGGCGAGCATGCTTTTGGACTGTGTGGGAGGAAGCCAGAGAACCCAGAGAGAACCCAAGCTACACAGGGAGAACATGCAAATTCCACGCAGAAAGATTCCGGGTGTCCTAACCGGAACGCGAATCGGCGACCTTCTTGCTGCGAGGCAATGATGCTAACCACCTTGCAACCCCTATGCAGGACATGTTAAGTGAAATTGACAGAAATACTGAAAGTTAATTTTGATGTGAAGATCCTTCTTAACATTTTGTTAAGATTACAAAGCCTAATCTTAAATATTCTTCGAAGAAGAGCTGTCTGAAGTGAGGGCTTCTAATACTCCACTTCTTCAATAAACGCTACAGTATGCCATATACATGAGAGTTGTTCACATTTTGCCCAGTCAGTATCATAGCTGGCCAAGAATAGGTTTACATAAGTAATCAGAGCATCAGTCACAGATCTGAGAAGAAAGGACAGAAGGTTGACAACCTTGGACAGTATTGACGCAAAGAGACAGCGCTGGGATCTGTTTGTAGCAGAGCAAGGGATTTCTATGGTGTATGGGTTTCTATGCACCAACAACTCTGACTGCCACCTCCATAAATCACAATTGTCAAGGTAGTTAAACACATGAATCAAATTAGGTATAACAGCAATAAACAACATGGTCAACTTTAACACCAGTCTGAGAAACACAGTTTATAATATGTGAATTTTCTCGATGACATAAGATCATTTTAAATGAATGGTCCCGAACACCAAAGCCATTATAATAAAGCTTTGCAGCAAAAATAAAGTACACTGTAATCCATACAGGCTTAAATAAAACTGCAACATCGCTATATAATTACCTAGCAATGGAAGGCTAAAATATTGCTATCCTGCTTAAAACTTAAAACAAGGGTCAGTGTTTTGGTCTAGGACAGTTTAGCAGGAAAATGGTCTCACAGAACAATACAAACAGCACACCTATGGAAAACAGTTACAGCTAAAGATTAAAATAACAAGTAGCATTCCTTAAAGATCAGATGCTAAGCATGCAGGGCTTAGCATTTGAATGCTGACAGAACTTTGCTGGTTAGAATTGGTAATTTCCCAATTTCCTGTATGACGAAATGAATTCTCTGTAATCTCCTTGTTTAAGCGTCTGTGTTTATGTGTCTAGTCACTGGGTTGGAAACTAATGAGTGTTCTGTCCACTTGAGAATTTCACACATATCAAGAGAGTGAGAGAACAGCACCAAAAAGAGTGTGTCTAAACTACAGCAGTGTTTAGCTGTAGAGACAAAAGAAACAGCATAATTTTGGTGGTTACGACCATAGATATGTATAATAAAGGCTTGATGTCTTAAGGCAGCGTTTCGAACAGGATCACCCTTCAGCCATCTTGATTCGGGGCAGCTCTCTGGCGGAACCTGTGGTACGTGAAGGAAGGTGAGTGATCTGCACAAATGCAAATACTCTTATCATGCTGAAATCTTGACAGATTTACAAACAGTTTGGCTTCTTACGAATGTTATTAACATGGCTACAATTCAAATTACAAAAATACAAATAAAATACAAAACAATTAAAATACTAATTGTTGCTGGCCGTGAGAGTGTAATATAATTATCCATAAATGCAGTGTTATAACTACACCTCTGACGTTTCTAACAAACCAAACCGTTTGAAAGTCGGTAGAAAATTGAGCAAGTTATGGTTATTTAAAAAGTACATGCACCACTACAACACAATGTTATGAGTGTACCGAATCAAGATGGTCGCCAGTGTGGCCGTGCGATTCCATTGGCCGACAGCGCAGACAAGACATCGAACCTTTATTATATATATCTATGGTTACGACTATTTTATGTTATGTTTTAACATAACCGTTGTGTTCTGTTTACAAACTATAACACAACTGTGTTGCTTCAACTACTCAAATGAAGACTAAAAGGCAAAACGTGTACAATAGCTATTTATTCCACTGTTGAACAACAGATGCTACCGATTGCGTCATTGTTTCTTCATTTATAAGTCACACACTACACAGAAAAGGGATCAACTGTAATTCATGCAATCAGTTTCCTTTTTCTGCATAATATGAAGTTACATTTAATGCGAGCAAATAAATACAAAATGTGTTAAGTCGTACGTCTAAAAATTTATCAAAATAAAAAAACAGCAAAAAGGACGGAAAACCAGTTTGAACTTTGTAAGCACACTGCTTCAAGGTTAGCCATTTGCCAAGTGGTGGTTTGTACTACAATTTGCAGCACCACTGTGTTGAATATAAGCCCTCTGACTCTACATCTGTACTGTGCTTTGTGTTCCTGGGAGTGGTGATGAGGGACGTTGAGAAAGAATGTCTGTTATTTTAGGAGGGTGTTGCTAGTAAGGTCCAGTTTGCTCACTGGGTGTCCATCCCTGAATATGTGTATGTTTATCTGCGTCTTTGGTTACACCTTGGCAATGAACCATGCAGTAGAAACATATGCAGAGTAGTGCCAAGGGACACACACACACACTTCTAAGGTACCCATACAAGGTAGAGAGGCCTACAGAGCATGTTCTCTCACACATACTGTACATGCGCATAGTTCATAGGCGTTTGCTGAAATGGTAAGAAAACAGAACATCCACATATCTGTCAATCTGTACCACTATATCAAAAGATCAAAAGCAGCACTCAGTACTTAACACAGTAGCTGTGGCAGTCGCAACCAAACCACTGACACTACTAGCACCATACTTTTCTGAAATACAAGCTGCTCATTCTTCCAACAATCTCCCTCTTCCCCTCTCCTCTCATTCACATAGAAAATCAGCAAGAGACAGTTATTCCCTCCCTCTTACACAGCTCTCACTTTGCTTGCTTTGAGTGAGGACTAGAAAACAGGAAACTCTGATGTAATGGGCAGGGCTGGTCTTTGTATCATCTGCACATATGGACAGAGGTATGGGACTCGGAAATTGTATCTCCTGCAGACATACATGTGACCGGATGATTGCCACATTTATTTTTCCTCTCTTGTGATGGTGCAGTATACATGTAAACACTACTTAACAGTTATCCTTAAGTGTGTTCAGTAACGTGGTAATTTTTTCTACCATTTAAGAGTATCTGAGGATTACACACATTTTTTGATGCAGTGGACTTGAATAAATTGTAAGCAATAAGAAAAGCTTTTTCTTCAGGGTGGCTGCAACTCAATAACACCACTGTTAGGTGCATTGTAGCATGAGCAAGGTTTAAGTGTACAGCGTGTAATAAACTGAGTGTCAGAGGCGAAAAGTTTTAAACACTTTTCAACCATGAAAAGGTGATAGTAGGGTAGTTGCTTTATCCTGTATCCTGACCTTAATGTCTGTCACAAAGCTACCACTGCATCTAAATCAGCCAAGGAGCCACTGTCTGGGCTTATCGCTGCTGTGCAGATAGGTAGGGGTGTGTGTGTGTGTGTGTGTGTGTGTGTGTGTGTGTGTGTGTGTGTGTGCGCGCATGAGAGGACTGATGATTCAGGTAGACTCAGCCAGCTGTCTCATCTGAAGGCTCTGGCTAGGTCTCACTCACAAAATGAAACACCTATGTCAGCTCATTGGCTACAGGCTGCGGTCAGCAGTAAAAGCTTTTCTCATTCAGCGTGTGAATTTAAGTACATTAACACAATCCAAATCTGCCCAGTATGTCTGTAAGTGGGGGAGAGAGTTTAGAGACACAGAAAGAGTTAGGGCAGAGAAAGGCAGAGATAAAATAAAGGAAAAAGTTAAAAGGGAGAAAAAGCATAAGAAAGAGGAAGTAAAAAATAAAAGCAAAAGCCAACTTGGAGAGACAAATAATCATAGTCTGAGAGAAAAATGGCCAAAAGGTGCTAAGAGGGCGTGTGAAGAATCATTAGCTCCACCAGAACAAAATCCTGCTTTCAGATTTAGCAGCTTTTTATACAGCTACACCACATTTCTCTCACAGTCCCTCACCTTTCTTACAGGGAAGCAAGCTGAAATGTTGAAAAGGAAAAGACAAATGGACAGAAACAGGAAGGAGTAATCGCAACATTCCCCTGACCTCTCAAATAGAAGAATTACTGTTTGTCTCTCATGAGTATTAACTTACTAGCTTAACTGTGAGCTGAAGACTACAGAACACTTTTAGGGCTTACAAAGGAACACTTGGCTGAAAAAGGTTCATCAGTAACACCCCAATAATATTGGATGCACTGCATTAAAGGTGGGGTCTGCAATTCTTAAGATTGTCGTAGCTAGTTAGTATATTTAGCTGGTTAGTTCATGCCAGGTTTACTGTTCCTTCTGCTCTCACTGCCCCCTTTTCGACTGATTTTTTCCCTCATCTACGGCATGAACTTCAGCATGTACAGGACATGCTGGAATAGTGTTGTGTGGA